ACACACCGAAGAGACCTAGGATCCAACTTACCACGGGAAGGAGAATGGTTATGAACAAAGCACACACCCAAAAATTTTGGGAGGAATGGAGAAACCAGACGAGTGGGACCCTAACAAAACCTGAAAAGGAGTGTGTATGTTGAGGACTTGGGTAGGCAAACGATTGATAAGGAAGGCTGCAGTAAGAATAGTTTCCCCCCAATATGATCTAGGAACACGCATTTCAAAGGATAGACAACGCGTAATATCAAGAAGATGACGGTTTTTGCGCTCTGCAACACCATTCTGTTAAGGGGTATTGGTACACGAAGTTTGGTGAATAATACCATGAGTGGCAAAATAACGGGCAAGGCCAGAGTCGATGTATCCCCCTCCATTGTCAGAACGCAAAATTTTGACAACCGCCCCAAATTGAGCGCAAATCATTTTATGAAAATTTTGGAACACAGAAAAAACCTCACATTTGTCCTTCAGAAGATATACCCAGGTGGTCCGAGAACAATCATCAATAAAGGTGACAAACCATCGGTGACCTTTTAAAGACACAAAACGAGAGGAACCCCATACAACAGAATGAATCAATGAAAAAGGAACTAAACTTTTATTAATAGAAGGAGCAAAAGAAGTTCGGTGTTGTTTTCCAAGTTGACACGACTCACATTGAAACTTAGAAACATTATTTTTCAAAAAAACAGAAGGAAAAAGATGCTTAAGTAACAAAAAAGATGGATGCCCAAGACGATGATGCCACAACCATAGGTCTTCCTTTGTAGATGGTAACTGGATGGATGTATGAGCCCGCTTGTCTGCTTGATCCAGGATATAGAGACCATTCTCGTTGCTACCACTGCCAATCATCTTCCTCGTGACAAGGTCTTGAAACAGACAATGATCAGGAAAAAAGGTTACACTACAATTCAAGTCCCGCGTAATACGACTCAAAGATAAAAGATTAACACTAAAATGGAGAACATGTAATACAAAAGACAAAGGAAGGGAAGCAGTGGCATGAATTACACATTTTCCTGACACAGAAGAAATGGTACCATCAGCAATTCTAACTTTATCTTGTCCTGAAGAAGGGGTGTAAGCGGAGAACAAATCAGACGACCCAGACATATGATCGGAAGCACCAGAATCGATAATCCAAGGCAACATTTGATGAGATAGGAAAGCACTTGTAGAAGAAGCCAAGTTACCTGAATGGGCAAAGTTACCTGAAAATGAACTAGATGCCCGACGGTCTAACAAGTAGCGAAGAGCAACCTCTAACTCAGAAGTAGAAAACCCAGAAATATCAGCCGAGGAAACAGCCGGAGCGGGGGACAAAGGCTCAACTGTATCAGAATGATGAGTTCGGGCATTGGGCCCTTGGCCTCTAGAGTGACCCAAGTGACCCCCGCGGGACCCAAAACGATCTCCACGACCCCTAGATGACGGCCCATGCAACTTCCAACAAGTCTTACGAGTGTGGCGAGGACGACGACAATAGTCACAGAAAAGGGTATCCTTCTCAGAAGGAGGACGAGAGCCACGATCCCCATCTCAAGAGGGTGTAGAAACCAGGGCAGATCGATCAGAAGAGGCAGGCGGAAGCATAGCAGAACGTCGACTCTCCTCATTCTGCACATAAGCAAATGCTTCTTGGAGAGAAGGAAGCACATCCATACCCAGCAGATGACTCCTAACAGGATCAAACTCCATATTCAGACCTTCCAAAAACTTGAAGACCCGCACTTGTTCAACAAATTTCCAGTACCCAGCAGAATCAGTGGGACACACAGGCTTGTAGTCCTGAAGATGATCAAGTCTCTTCCACCCATTGCTAAGGAATGTAAAATACTCGAGGATAGTCATCTCACCCTGGACGGACCGGTCAATGGAGCGTCGCAACTCAAAAGTCTGGAAAAAATTGCCTTTGCGGGAATACGTAGTGGCCACAGCCTCCCAAATATCCTGTGTTGTGTCCATAGACCAGTATCCTTCACCAATCTCCGAAACCATAGAATGTATCAACCAGCCCATGATAAGAGAATTGGTAATCTCCCACTGATCATAACCTGGATCTGTGGAACTGGGGGCTTGAACGCGCCCATCAACATATCCCATCTTCCCTTTGCTTTTCAAAAAAATAGTCAAACTCTGTGACCACGCTTAATAATTTTGACCATTAAAGAGAGAGGTGGTGATTTTTTGGCCAGGGTTGAGGGAATCAGCCATAGTAGTAGGCAAACAAGGACTCGGGCCCTGAGGAGTATGCGAAGTAGTAGACTCACTAGTCAATTCTGCCATGAATATGCTACTAAGGAACTCTCACAACAAACACTGGTCTAATCACAAACCCGGAAGATGGGAAATATACCAAACAGAACATTTTTTTTTTTTTTTTAAGGTTTTTTTTTTTTTTTTTTTTTTGTGAAGACAGAAAGGAAAAGGGAAAAACAAAGGAGAGAGAAGGAAAATTACATTAAATCACTGAATAACGACTTCAACCTAGACCCAAGACAGAGCCGACACAGTTGACTAGGATAGAGAGTTGACTCAACCAAAGAGATGAGAGGATCGATGTGAACTAGAGAGCCGACTAAAGCAGAGAGGTCCTGAGTGGCTGTCGACAGCCTGAGGAGGGAGGAAAACCCACCCGACTGAACTCCAAGCTTGTCGACAGACCTGGGTGAAAAACAGGGGGCTCTGACGAGCCCTAGGGTGCCGGTGAAGCCCTAGGAGGCTGTGGCTAGGGCTGCCAAAGTCCTAGAAGAGTGCGACAAAGCCTGTCGGGGCCCTAGGAGACTGTGATTGATCCTGTTGGAACCCTAGGGGAATGGCGTCTGGTGTGGTGTTCTGGTGGTGGTGCGAAGGTGGCTGTAGGGTTGTGATTCCTAGGTTTTAGAGTGGCTCTGATAGCATATTATTTTTAGCAAGGAAAAATTAGAGGTATGAGTGGTATCTCATCCCCTTTTATATTAAATCATCATCATAATTACAGAAGTGCCATAAGGCATAAAATAAGAATATACTAAATATTCATCAGAATAAAATAAGAAATATTCTAACACATTCTAACAAAGGAAAGGTACCAAAGACCAAGGTTGTTAAAATCGGGATCCTACGTTGGATCGTTAGAGGTGTTTATAGGATCGGATCGTGGAATCGGATCGAGAATCGTAAGATCCTACTGAAAAAGACAGATTACATAATAATTTAATTTAAATTAATATTTCTTATAAAGCATACACAAAATGAGCTTATATTCTATTAAAAAGAAGTGAAGATATTGTGAAAAATATAATACTCCATGTAAAATGTACATATAATATTATACAATAGAAAACTCGATGCTAAAAGTATTGTATTTCATCAAAAAAGAAGATGAAGAAGAAGAAGAATTCTACAACAAAATACTTTACAATCTACAATGATGCACAAAAAGTGAAGAAAAAATATTTAACAAAGTTGATATAAAAATAGATTAAGAACTCAAAAGAATAACTTAACCGAATGATAAAGTTTGTCGTTAGCATCCCTGGTGGAGTGGATTCAAGTCACAAAAATAATCTCTCCAAAAATTAAGATAAATTTGCAATCATCTTACCCTCCTTAGACTCCGCTAAAGCTAAGTTTGTTTTTTCGATTATTTAATTTTTTTAAATTACCGCAATATTTGAATGTTTGTTTCCTAGTTTGTTTTTCTTAGTCTATTTGATTCAATACTACTTAATTTTTATTATTTTATTTTGACCACACAAATTGGTATTTAGACAACAAACATAAAATTTACAATAAAATATGTCATACAATACAAAACAAGGCTTGTAAATTGGATCGGATAGGATCGGATTCGGATCGGGATTCCGCGATCCTATAAGATCCCATTACCAGGATCGAAAGATCCTACCTATAAGGAGTTTTTTACACGATCCGGATCGATTGTACTCAAATGGATCGTAAGATCGTAGGATCGTAAGATCCGGATCCGGATCGGGATTCTGATAACCATGCCAAAGACTTGTGGGAAGAATTATATATCTATCACATACTCATCCAGATATTGCCTATGCAGTTGGGATAATGAGTCAATTTATGCATGATCCTCATGCGACCCATTTGGATGCAATGTAACGCATTTTGAGGTATCTTAAATCCGTTCTTGGAAAAAGAATTTTGTTTTCTAATCATGGTCACTTCACAGATGCAGATTGGGCAGTCTCTATACATGACTGACGATCTACCTCCAGTTACTGTGGTTTTGTAGGGGGAAATTTGGTCACACGGCTTAGGAAGAAGCAGGCAATGGTATCTAGATCTAGTGTTGACGCAGAATACAAAGCTATGGCACATAGTACATGCGAACTGATATGGCTTCAATCCTTGCTAAGTGATATAGGGCTTGAATGTAGTGAACCCATGATTCTGTACTGTGACAACAAAGTTGCCATAAGTATTGCTCACAATCTTATTCAACATGACAGGACTAAGCATATTGAGATCGACAGACATTGCATTAAGTAGAAATTGAATAAGGGTTTGATATGTATGCCTTTTGTCCACTCTGAAAATCAGTTGGTGGATATGTTTACTAAGGGTCTTAGTAGTAATGTCTTTCACCCCATTTGTTGCAAGTTGGGCATGAGTGACATCTTTGCACCAAGTTGAGGGGGAGTGTTAAGTGTTAGGGTAGTTATGTAATTTGTGTCTTCCTATTATTATTATAAATAGTTGTGTGTAAGGGGTGAACCCTAAGTTTTTGTTCAATATTATTTCAGCAGCCGTTCTCGTTCTCTCTCTCTCTCTCTCTCTCTCTCTCTCTCTTCAACTTCTTCTAAACATTCAACAGTATTCACTATTCAGTTTTAAACAAACATTACGTTAGGGTATCACACAGCCCTTTACTTATAATCGTCAATCACAATGTGAAATACTATCATTTTGCATTTTGTATTTTTCTCGTGCTAAAAATATTAAATCAACAATTTAGGAACTATGGTGTTTCATTGTTTCAGGTTCCAGCAAGACCTAACTACAGCATGGTTCTATACTATGCTGCTGATAGGCCTGTAAATAAAAATTCTTTGTTGGGTAAATTTGTTGATGGGTCCGATATGTTTCGTGATTCAAGATTTAAACTAATTCCAAGAATTGTTGAGGTATGAACTTTTTTTCCAGTATCAAGACCATGTGTAATTTAGCGAGCTTATCTTGTCTTGTTTTTGAGTAACAAATGGTATTGACAGGGATATTGGATGGTAAAGCGTGCTGTTGGAACAAAAGCTTGCATATTAGGGAAAGCAGTTACCTGTGAATACCTTAGACAAGACAATTTCCTAGAGGTAATAAGATTCAATTCCGGCATCCTTGAATGTTTATCACCCTTTTGTTAGATACAGTGATGATCTTAATACAAAAGTTATCTTGTATGTCTCGTATTGGAATCACATCAAGTCAAATGTGAACTTATATAATGAATGTTTTAATTAGTAGAGTAAGTAGAAGGGAGAAGTGATTAGACTGTTTCTTCCCTTCCTTGTTTCACTATCTTCCTCTCGTTTTGGTCCATCTTTGTTCCTTTTTTTCTTACCTGTCTATAATTTTTACCAATGGTTAAATCTGCATTTCTCTTTTGTAGTTAGTGTTCAATCTGTTAAGTTGCCAATAGCCCCCAAAACTTAAGTTATTAGGAAATGGACCCGACAATGTATATCTATCAATCTATCCAACTCACTCCTTCACATGCAACCCCATCTTACATGTGGAGATGCAAACATCAAGAGAGAATAAAGAATGCAAAATGAGTCAATACCATGTTAAGTCACCAAGTGTCCCAAAAGCGTAAGCTATTTGGAAATGGGTCAAACAATATATATCAAGCTATCCAACACAACCAAGAGATTCAGCAGTGTCACTCTTAATGGTCCCATAATAAATATTTTGTTGTATTTTCTATTTCCCTTAAAATATCCTCATCTTTGTTTTGTTTTTTTTTGTTTTTTTTTTTTTTGGGTTTTTTTTTGTTTTTTTAAATATCCTTATCTTAAGGGATCCACTGTAATGCCCCGAAATAATAACAATAAACCATCTCACGACATTTAATAAATAACAACACGTTCAATATGATAACCTTTCATTTATATAAGTGCAATGTACAAAAGATGACATATGCGAATATAAATTCATAAATCCTAGATATTGAATCTATAGCATATACCACATATGAGAGAGAGAAAATGAAAGGATAAGTAAATTAATGCCTTAATGGCTACACCTTTCCAAGACCACACTTGGTTACAACAAAATGAGTTTAACTCAATACAGTTTAAGCCTTAGGCTTGTACAAAATAATTGCATCAAAATCAACAAAAGGAAGCTCTTAGCTCCAAATTCTTCCAAACTATGACCTTGGTGGAGGCATGTCATCAATACCTGAAAGTTGTTTTCCACATAGGGTGAGTCAAAGCCCAGTAAAAATACTTGTGTATGAATCTTGACGAAGTCATAAGGTGAATGCACATGCATGTCATTTGCCAAAACATTTTATATTTTCATCTCAAAACCGTGCAATGCCAGATTATATACCAATTCATGAAAATAAATTTTTTATAACAGAAAACAGTGCAATGGATACAAAGCACTGGAAATCTTTAGATACGTGTCTGCCAGTATGCTATACAAGCACTACCAAAGCCATTTTATCGGTATTAATCGGAAAGATCGGCACCTAACTGTGCGGGTTTCTAAACTTTTACCAAGAACACACAGACCAACATAATAACCACAACTACGCTCCTACCCAAATTCACCAAGGTGTTCACCCATTTTTCTCAAATAAATACATTTTTAATTTTTAAGTATGCAACAATGCTTAGTGCAATATGGATAAGAAATTAGTTTCAATACATCTAATCCTTATGCAGTTTCTACTACAATCAAAGTTATCATCCACCGATAGCCCAAAACAGATATTTCTAATCAATAGATAATTTCCGAATAAAACATAATTTCATCATTTTCAAATGGGAGTGATATTACATATACAAGTCCACCATTCTCATCAACATCACATTCGATCCAATCTTACAAATCCAGCATCATTTTCCATTTTCCTTTCACAAGCCAAATACCCATGGTTTTAGAACAAAACCCTTTTTTTCCAAAATCGATTTTTGAATGATAAAATCCACCACTTTAACATAGCTTAACTATAAATACATTCCCACAACTATTTCCATTAATCCATTTGAAAACTCCTTTTTTAAATTTCAAAATCAAACCCTAGGTTTTACCCAAAATCCTCAAATCACTAGATTCTTTATATAAACAAATAACCAAGGTAAAAATCATACTAAAGGTCGAAGAAATCCCTACCTCAAAGCTAGAAGACAAGGGAAGTAAGGATGAAACTTTGACGAAGCCGAAAACGAACTTTGCTCCGATTAAAATAAAGCTCTAGGTGAGCTCTATGTTTTTCTCCAAAGGACAATGGTGGAGGAATCAACGGATGATGGTGTATTTGGGACTTGAAATCAAGAACGAGAGAGAGAGAGAGATGAGTTTAGGGTTTTTGAAATGCTTAGAGAGAGAGGAGTGAAAAAGTGATCTAAAAAGTCTCTTTTCATAACTGATATACATGCAGACCGTTTGAGCGACCAAACACAATAAGTGACACCACTAGAGCGAACAAAGTAACCGTTCGAGCGCACAATGACACCCTCCTAAAAGTTTTGTAGACAAAAGTAAACCGCTCGAGCTCAAGAAAGACCGCTCGAGCGAAGAACACCACGCTCCCAGAAGGTTTGCAAACCTGCAAAAATACTCGGAGATCTCAAAGACTACTCGAGCGAACATGCCAAAACCTGGGCAATAACTCTTTTGAAAAACCAACTCCTAACCTGTTCCAAACGCAACAACAATATTCAAATGACCAACTCAACAAGGAATAAGATAAATAAGGACATGAATAACCATTCAAGACAAGGGATCCCGGGTCCAAAACAATAAATGGGTCGGGTCTAAACCGGAATCATTATATCTGCTATCTAGAAGGTGTTGAGTTTTAAAATTGAAATATGCATTTGAAGGCAATCCTTCATTACAATTTAGTTTTATATATGGTCATGTTTATATGAATTTAAGGTTTTACAAATTGGCTGCTCTTAGATTTGAACTCATCTTCTCATGCTTGGCAGCCCAATTTTTTACCACTGACTGGACCAACCATTGCATCCTTAGCACCATCACCATCATCATGATGGAATATAAAATTTCAACCTGAAAGCCCTGTGAATTCCAATTAGACTCTTGTAATTTTAAACAACCACAAGGGAAGCTCAGGGGAGTAAAATTGACCCCTAATTGTGATGTGGGCATGGATATTTGCTTCTCACTGAAGTAATCAGCTCCCTCATTGGCTGATCTAGGTTCCATTTTGACCTCTGTGCCATAAAACCATGACAATATCCAAAATCAATTACTAGTAAAATGATTCGTAATGCCAAGAATTTAGGATTTGATGTCTTAACCGTCCTACAATAGCATCTACATCTCCCTCAAAACACTGCTGGAAACTGTTTTATGAGTAGCAACCCAAATGCCTTTCAAGAGAATTAATATTTTCCCAAAAGAGCTGTAATCTCTATTATATCTCATAATACCTCCAATGCCAACTTCTTGTGAGTTCCTAGATGAAAAGATGACATGCTGCAATTTGTCGTCATTAGAAGAAAAGATGACTGTATCTAATATCTATGCATAAGGTGACATGTAGCAATTTGGAGTCTCGCCTAGGACATGGAAGATGTTGAGCTGATAGGAACATCACTAGTGAAATATATAATTTCATCACCAAATATTTGTAATGGCTAGGATTTTTGTATTTGATAATCAGTGTTGATGCAACATGAATGGCTAACAGCAGATACCATTGGTTACTAATTATGTCATACAATGGTGTGTTGATATATTTGTAGGTAAACATGGTTGTTATAGATCACATTCATCTTATTTAGTTGACGTAATTCCAAAAGGGGAAGTTCACAGCGCAATGTGAATAGGGTTTATGAAAACACTATATTAAAGTCATGTCTTGTTTTGAAATAGGTAAAAAGGGGCAAATCTTCCAAAACATGGACCTGATAATCTGAGGGCAAATCTTCCACTATTTTAAAGTCACTTTACCCTTTTTTTTTGGGTCTAGTTTAGATTCTACACAAAACGCCTTTAAAGGGGGAACTGTTGTTAGATTTCGTTAGGGCTGTCTGGCTAAATGTCCGTTACCCACCACTACTACTTCCCGACACACTGCCTACCTACTACACTTAGGCCTAGTTTGGGAAGACTAAATAAGTGCACTTTTTGACTTTTTATGAAATATGGGTTGGGTTTGGGTTGGGTTTAAAGTGATGTATTAGAGAGGTGATGTGACTTAAATAAGATGATGTGACTTAAATAGGATAGTGACTTTTTGACTTTTTGTCTTTTTTCAATCTTCCCAAACTAGGCCTTATTCTGCACCACTGATGCTGCCTTCACATTCCGCACCCCCTCCTTCCTATACTATACATACATATCCTAACCACTAACTCACTGACTCACTAATAGTACTCTCTCTGCACCCTTGCTTCCCTCGCTGGCTGGCTAAATGGCATATATATGCATTTTATTAGTTCTAAACCCTCACTTCCATAACCTCATCGTCACATTTGATTATGAAATCAGTAGGGAGAGGTGAGTCTACTTTGATCTCCACACAGATTTTAGTATTGCCTTGTGCAGTGAGTTTATCCATATAGAGGGGCTCTCCCACAGAACTTGCAATTCTACTAAGACCTTCCTCATCCCAATATTCCATAGGTATATTATATAATTTGATCCATATTGGAATGATGTCTAACTTTTCCTTTGACAATTTCATCATTTTGTGCCATTTTTTCAAAATCAAAAAGTAACCCCAAAAAACCAAGGCCCCTCCTCTCTCCCCCTCTCACTTACCCCTAAATAACAAAAAAAAAAAAACACAGCACATTTCACATTTTCGTGTTTTTTTTTTTTGTCTTTTTTTTTTTTTGTCTTTAAGTGGTTTTTTTTATAAAAAAAAAATACTTCACATATATTTTACATTTTCTTGCGTTGATATATTTGTAGGTAAACATGGTTGTTATAGATCACATTCACCATATTTAGTTGACGTCCCAAAAGGAGAAATTCACAGAGCAATGTGAATAGGGTTTATGAATACACTATATTAAAGTCATGTCTTATTTTGAAATAGGTAAAAAGGGGCAAATCTTCCAAAACATGGACCTGATAATCTGAGGGCAAATCTTCCACTATTTTAAAGTCACTTTACCTTTTTTTTTTGGTCTAGTTTTCGATTCTACACAAAATGCCTTCAAAAGCTAGTGAGCATTGTAAATGCTCTTTGCTTATTTAGCTGCTTCTTACATGTGCATCATCAGGTCAATAAGATTTTGTTATGAGCTTCTACTTTGCAGATTGATGTGGACATTGGCTCATCATCCGTTGCAAGGAGTGTCATTACTCTTGTCCTTGGATATGTGACGAGCATTGTTGTTGATCTTGCAATTCTAATTGAGGTTTGTGCTTTTCATTCCAATATTATGTGCAAGTGCAAGTAATATTCTCCTTAAGCTGTGGATTTTGTTGAGACTTTGTTGATCTTTTGAGTTTGTTATATCTTAGCTTCAAAATTATGTGGTGCATTATGTTGTGTTCAAAAAACATCTTCCATTTCTCTTTGATGATTTTCTGGTTCCAATGTGACATGGACAATAAGATATTGGGTGCTTTAAAAATGATATAAGCAGTACCTAATGGAAAAAAGAAAAAGAAGTTTACTTGTGAGGCCTGGTTAAAAAGGGGAGTGTCTGAAATTTTTCAGCATACTTTACTTTTCGTTCCATGCATATCAGTTATTATATTATTATATTGCCCCATTTGTTCTTTACCAAGTACAATATTACTCCTAAGTTAGGGAGCTATTATAAATACTGTTAAAGTAGTTTAGATAATTCTTGGCATGAACCTAAATATTAAGATTTAGAGGTGTCTCTTAATTTATGAATGTATGAGTTAAAAATTGTTCAAACTTTAACGGAAGTATGTAAGGCAAAGAAAAATGGTGTAATTTAAGGTTTGTTGGTAATAGTGTTGTTTTTCCCGCTTTTTTTGTTGATAAGTGTGGTGGTAAGTGGTGTCAGCCACTTTCAGAACTTTATCCTACCACCAGCTTAAAATGATGACTTTCTTCCTGTTCTGTTTGTTTAGTTACCGGGTGTCTCTGGCCTTCTATTGTTCAATTTATGTACCGCAGATCTACATTACTCCACTAATTGGTCAATTATATGATATTTTATGGGAATATCACTTTTTTTTGCCTTCTTGTATTCTTAAGTTCATATATGTAAGTGCTTTACTTTTTCATGAAGAATTTTGAAGCAGTTAATCATCATCTAGATAAGTACACGTTCACAAATTAGAGAATTTCAGAAAAGGAAATTCATCACCAACAATTTTAATAAAATAGTAGATGACCATGCTTCATAAAATTTCAGAAATTGTTATGTGAAAGTTTAAGATTGGTTTCTGATACCATTTGGGGAACCCAAAAAACATTAAATAATAATAATAATAATAAATGAGCAAAGGATAGAGGACTACTCATCTGTTGTCTTAGATTAAAATGAAGGATTTTATCTTCATGGTGTTTAAATATGCAGCCTTAGCTTCTTTTTAATATTATTTTATTTTATTTTTTGGGCTCTAATGGCATTTTAATGAAGGGACAGAAGTCTTGCAGCTTTTGCATTTGTTTCCAAGGCATCTATAAATTCATACAGAAGTCTATAGTTCATATATATGTTTCTGGGTAGCCAGCTCACATGCAAACAATGAGGATTTTATGTGGATGTCAATTGCTACTGTGAATATTTTTATTTATATATTTATTTATTGATTGATTTTTTCACTTAGTTTTTGTCTAGTCATATTTTGTAATACCATTTTTATTGAACTTTAGGACATTAATATTGTTGCTAACTGTTAACTAAGACAAAATGCTTTCCACCTTAGTTAGGCATCTGCTTTAATATAGCCTATTAAGTCATTTATTCAACTGTGCAAAGCTAACTCATAGTGTAGTGAATGCACAAGATTCAAACAATAGTATTTTATTTATTTTTTAATCTGTTCAAATCTATCTAATTGCAACTTTTAATTTTTAAATGGCTCTACATTGTGAAAGGAATCTTGTCTGCAAATTTTGTAATTGAAAATCATGCTTTTTTTTTTTTGGGTGAATTTGACAAATCATGCTTGGTAAAAGCTTAATGGAAAATGTTCAATATTAATCTCAAAATGGTAAAACAAGGAAGTTTAAAGTTCCATACTTGTTAACAATAGTTAATAGATTTTATCATTCTTTAATTTGGAACAGCATGATTCATTCTTAAAATAGTTTACTTGCAAAATTGATCGAAAATAGTTTAGTTCTTTTTTCATTCTTTTTTATTTTTGTAGAAATGTGTTTTTCCCATTTTTGATTGATGTACTTGATTTCAATTGCTTTCCAATTCTTAGCCATGAAAGCATGTGTGCCATACAGAGCTTTGTATTGACAACAGCTATATTTTTAGGCCAAAGAAGAGGCGGAGCTCCCTGAGTACATTCTTGGAACTGTTCGACTGAATCGTGTGAAGCTCGACTCTGCTGTACCTTTTGAAGTTTGAAATATTTTGATACATCAACATGCTGTGATCATCATATTTACAGAAGCAATTGGCATTATTGTAACTGGGTGCATTCCAATGATTTCCAGATTCTGGTGTGGATTATTGTTCTTATAATTTGGACTGGACATTGAAAATTCAATCATAGATCACCCAACACTGGTTCCAATGAGTATTTATTTATAAAACTCTCTTAAATAGTTTCGAGTATTTGTTTAATGTAGTTACACATATCAAGCAAGTCAAGTGGGTTATCTTCTAATCTGTGTAAATGAATTATGCGAGGGATGAGGTGAAGAGACGCGAGCTATTCTGGTCAAGGCTGGTTGTGAAGGGGTGTGTTTCACAAAAGAATTCATAGCCTTTGCAGCAATGCATTGTTTCAACATAATTTTGGGATGCCATTTAATATTTTCATATTTTCAAATTTCACTTTCATATAGTAAATGTTACATTAACCACCTCTCTCCCTCCCCAAAGAGGAAACATATGATTGTAAAAATAATATCCATATTCTTTTCCTTCTGGATTACAATATTGATTTTGCAAACTTCATGTTGATGTGTCAATTTGAATTTGAAAATTTAGAATGGCTCAATTAGCTTGTATGTTATTTTTTTTGGTCTGCACTTTGTTGTAGGGGTGTTCACACATTGAGTCGAGTATGATTTGCTGCACAACCGTTAATCGAATCGATCACCTTGGGATGAAGAAGGCAACTAATGTCAACGAATTCGAACAAATGGGGTTGAATTTTTTTCGGTCGGTGGTTAAAACCGACCACTCATCTTTTTTCCCAATTCCTTTAGCATCATTTAAGAACCAAAACACCTTTCAAAATCCAAAAAATCATCTTTCAATCCTAAAAGATCTTTCAAGAACAAAGAAAAAAAAGGACCGTTCAAACTTCAATAAAATGTTCAAAACCCAAAAATCAAATAACATGTGGACTTATAGAGGGGGTGTTTAGAAACAGAAGTGAGGGGGAAGGACGAGACAAGGTAGCAGGCAAAGCAAAGGGTTTTGCACTTGTAGAGGGCTTAGGCAAAGCAAATTGAGTATCATCTTTCTCAATTGGTCTTCTCCGATGTCATGACCGTTTTGAGGATTGAAGATTTAGTTTTATTTCCACAATGAAATCATAAATGATGAAAAGAGAGATGGGTGTCTTCTGAATTTTTTCCCAAAAGTAAATGAGATGTATAGAGGTAAATCATAAATGAAGGAGAGAGAGAGAGGTTGTGCATTTTTGGAAAATGTTATAAATTTCAAATAATTTACTAAATCTTTTATCAAAATTTTTACATGGATGTGGGATCTACACAAACCGCACAAACACCTTTGTGTGGGTCCCACACCTATATAAGAGCTTTAGTAAAAAATTTGATAGATTATTTGAGATTCCTACTATAATTCTTTCTCAAATGGTATCAACTTTCTAATAGATAAATGCAATCAATATAAAAATTGTAAAATGGTGAAGAAGAGAGAGATGGGTGTACCTCCTCAAAGTAAATGAGATACAGATAACACGAGTTTCGGCTTTGAGGTTTTTCCTAAACTAAGCCTATTCACTAAGCTTTTTCCCAAACTAAGCCTAGTTTGCCGAAATTTTCAGAATAAGTTGAAGCGTGTTTACAAAACACGCTTTCAACATATTTTTGACCCAGACGCACAAAATGAATAAAATTGTAAAAGCGTGGTTACGAAATACGCTTTTAATTAAGAAAATGCTGTTTCTATTAGCGTTTTCAAGCTTAAATAATAGCACAACATGAAAACGTGGCATGCACTCACACTCTCTTCTCTCTCTCTCGGACACAAACACACATCACTCACACACACTCACATCAAACATATATAATTTTTAATATATATAAATTTTATTTTATAAAATTGAGACCAATATTAAATATATATAATAATAATTTATAATAGCAAATAATAATCAACTATATAAAAATGATTACTTTTTTACTTTAATTCTTAAATTTTTTTTATTTTTTTTATTTTAAGGTTTAAGATTTAGGGTTTAATTCTTATTTTTTATTTTATTTTAGGGTTTAGGGTTTAATTCTTAAAATTTATTTATTTTTATTTTAGGGTTTAGGATTTAGGGTTTAGAATTTAGGGTTTAATTCTTAAAATTTATTTATTTTTTATAAATCCTAAACCCTAAAATAAAAATAAATAAATTTTAAGAATTAAACCCTATACCCTAAAATAAAAAAAATAAATTTTATCCCTCAACACTAAAATAAAAAAAAAATTAAGAATTAAACCCTAAATCTTAAAACTTAAAATAAAAAAATAAATTTCAAGAATTAAAGTAAAAAAGTAATCATTTTACATAGTTGATTATTATTTTATTTATAAATTATTCTAATATATATTTAATATTGGTCTCAATTTTATAAAATAAAATTTATATATGTTTGTTAAACCCTAAATCCTAAACCCTAAAATAAAAATAAATAAATTTTAAGAATTAAACCCTAAACCCTAAAATAAAATAAAAAATAAGAATTAAACCCTAAATCTTAAACCTTAAAATAAAAAAAATAAATTTTAAGAATTAAAGTAAAAAAGTAATCATTTTTATATAGTTGATTATTATTTGCTATTATAAATTATTATTATATATATTTAATATTGGTCTCAATTTTATAAAATAAAATTTATATATATTAAAAATTATATATGTTTGATGTGAGTGTGTGTGTGTGTGAGAGAGAGAGAGAAGAGTGTGAGTGCCTGATGTGGTTTTATTTTTTATTGAAAACGTGTTTTCAAAACACGTTTTCATGTTTGAAAACGCTAATAGAAATAGCGTTTTCTTAATTAAAAGCGTGTTTCGTAACCACATTTTTACAATTTTATTCATTTTGTGCGCCTGGGTCAAAAACATGTTGAAAGCGTGTTTTGTAAACACGCTTCAGCTTATTCTGAGAATTTCTGCCAAAAACATGTTGAAAGCGTGTTTTGTAAACACGCTTCAGTTTATTCTGAGAATTTCCGCCAAATTAGGCTTTTGGGAAAAAAGCTTAAGGCCTCGTTTGACTTTTTACGAAAAGATGTGCAGAAAAATAGAGAGATAATGTGACAACTTTTAGTAATTTTTTGACTTTTTGACTAAAATAACCACTCCCCAAACGAGGCCTTAGTGGATTGGCTTAGTTTGGGAAAAGTCCCTTTGACTTTTCCAGAGATAAATAAATGCAATTAATAGCAAATAATTAAGATAGTGATTTTTTTTTTTAATTTTTAATATATATATACATTTTTTTGTTGTTATGTAGGATATACTAGGTAAACTTTCACGCACCAAACTCAGTTGTTATAGTCTAAATAAGCCTTCCAAAATAGATTTTTTCTGCAGTGTGTAGCCTCAAGAATTTTATATTAATTGGGAGAATTGAACCTGAGATTTAAAGGAAGCAAACCCCAAAACCCCATGTCTCAAATTGCTTTGCCAACCCCTTGAGGTTATAGTGGCGCTTTTAGCTTAAGGCTTTGGCAATATTTTGCAATTCGGTTTGAATATATCATATTTATTCTTACCATATCTAATATGAAGTGAAAATAATTTAAATATAAATATATATATTTTTAGGACGTTTAAGCACTGGTTTGACATAGATTTTTTAGCCACAAAAAGGTAAAATAAATTTTTTAGTCTAAAAAATATCAAATTCAAACCATAATTATTTTATTTTTTTCTTTCACAAAAGTTAAAAAAGTCTATTTCAAACAAGATTTTTTTAACTCCAAGCTAAAATAGTTAAAAAGTCAACTCACATCTTAAACGAATCAAAAAATAAGTTTTAAAAAGGCCATTATCTAGAAGTAGTGTTTTGAGAAGTTGGTAAAATACTAAATTTTACGATTTTTTTGGCTTTCTGGTGTTTTTTTTGTAAAAAAGTTAAAAAACAAAAAAATAACTTTTTTAGCAAGTTTCCAAATTGCCGCTATATATCTCATGAGCTGTGATTGAGGCCTCGAAAATGAGGCTCGAAATTGCCTCGAATGCAAATTTTTTTTTTTTCTAGGCTAATACATTACAAAAAAAATAAATAATAATAATAATAATAATAATAACAAGCAAAGCATCAACCTAGAAAAAAAAAAAAACAAAAAAAAAAACAAAAAAAAAATCAAATTTAAGCCAAATTTAAGCCAAAAAATTTGAGGCCTCAATCATTAATCATATCTCATTTGTGAAGTGTTGTTTTATTATTTTTGTTTGCTTTTTATAAATTATTAAAATATGGTGTCACGTCATTTCTGAATGTTGTGAAATTCTCATAATATCCTCTTGCACATGCTGAAAATTACCATTTTACCCTCCTTGTTTAGTGACAAATTTTTTATTGTTTTTCTTTGGGATATTTTGGCAAATTTGTGTCCTGGCTTATTTGGTCTTCCCCCCTCAAAAAAAAAAAAAAACTAAATAAGTAGCTTTTTGCTTATTTTCAAAAAAATAAAAAATCTGCTTGTTTTGCTCTTCTAAAATGGCCCTTAATAAAAATGTGTTTACTTTTTTTCAAATTTTATTTGATCATAACATTGGCAAAAACGAAAGAATAAAATGATGATAATTGGCTTAGTCAGGAAGTAGGAAATTGGCAAATGATAGCACAAGATACACAATTAATGTGATTGAAGAAAAAGGATAGTTAAGCTCCGTTTGGCAAGGAAGTTTGGGGCTATTTTAATCACAAAAGACAAAATAGGTTATTTTAGTCACAACAAACAAAACATCACATCCAACCTATAATCATTACACTCTTTTCTCACAAAAAAGTCAAAAAGTTAAATAGCCTTTCCCAAACCAAACTTTTTAACCCAAGCTAAAATCGCCAAAAAAGTCAAAAAGCCAAAAAGTCAACCCACTTCCCAAACGGAGGGTTACACTTCTTCCACTAATTGTATTTCTTCTCTAGGAAGGAAGCCTTATGTATAGGAATGGCAACTAGCCGGGTCGGGGCCGGGGATCGTACTCCCCGTCCCCGATCCCCGATCCCCGATGGTAAAAATGTCCCCGTCCCCGACCCCGATCCCCGAGGGAAACCTATCACCATCTTCGCCCCCGTCCCCTAACGACGATCGAGTTTTCCCAAACCCAAAAATTCCCCGACCAAAACATAGACACAGATTATATCAACAACAAAGAAATCAGAATCAGAATCAAAGAAATCCTTGTTCCACAACCATTTGTTCAACCTATCCCTTACATTTGATGGAAAGTTCTCAAATAGAAAGCAGAATCAGAACAAATACTAAGGACTCCCAAAAAATGGTATGTTGAAAACTTCTTATGAGCAGTCTTTTCAAAACATCACAAAATCCAAGTTACATCCAATAGGAGCCTTGAAGGCCTTTAATTCCACTAATAATCTCTAGAACTCCATTAAGAAAAAAACATATCAAATTGAAAAATAAATAGAAACAGGAAAATGAAAAGGAGAAAAACTTGATTTTTGCTCAGATCTTTCAGAAGAGAAAGCGACGGAGGAGGATGAGGAGGATGAGACGGGTATCTGCTTAGATCTGCC